ATTTATATAACCTACTGCTTTCTTTCTTTTTTCTTATTCCTAGAAGGTTAGCCTAGTTTACTGTTTAGTAGAGAAGAAGTTGTAAGGACAATGGCCAATAAGCTCTCGCATTGTTTACAAAAGTAGCCGGAAGCCAATGTCCGCCATTACTGGATTGACCAGCTGTTTTTGCGATGCCCCAGTTGTCGCATGGTCTCTGCTAATGGCCAAAGTTGTTATTTTAAAATAAAATTTACTTTATGCCTGTTAGATGATATCTTCAAGATGTCATACATGTTGACCATTTCAAAACAGAAATTCGTTTGACAGCTACCAAAACAAAAATAATGTGAAACCCACAGAAAATCGCCATTTTTGTTTTATCCAAGTACAACTACAAAACATCATTTGATAGTCAAAGAATTAGGCCACAGTGGTCTAAATATATAGAAGGTTACTGGTACAGTTTATCTTATTTACCAATAATTAATGTCAGAACAGGGTTTCTGTTCTATATATATTTAAAAGTTCTTAATAGTCTAATAGATTGGGTAATTTATTCTCATATGGAATATTTTATCTTAATGGAAGAAGGGAAAACAGACTGAATGATTTTAATGACAGAAAGGAAACAACCACACAAAACACATCAAAAACTTAATAATAACTTTAACAACAGTAAGTACATAAACCTATACATTTATTACTATTAATATTTGTCAAAATATGCCAGATTTCTAAATATGACACAATTTTAAGTTTAAATTATTACTATTTCTTTATACAGATCATTTAAGAAATATAATTTAATAACTCATTACATGGTACCATAAAGAGTTTTTATACACTGACATGTAACAAAATATTCAGCAGTTCAATTTTATTTTCAAATCAAAACTATATACAAACACTATTTTTCGGTAAGATTTATTATTCAATTTGTATTGTTTTGTAACAAATAATGAAAACACAAACACGTTACGGTGTGTCAATATGGTGTTTTGAAAAACAAAAAAGTAAAAAGAGTACAAGCTGATATAATTAAGTAATGGGATAACAAAAAAAGGTAAATTTAATAAATAAATACATTGTGATCAAAAAAAGAGGAACATGGGTGTTGTTTCTTGAAATGAAATAATATATTATGAATAGCTAGAACGTACAAATAAATTGGGTTGACCTCTGAATATATTATTTATATGAGCGTAAACGCGTGAAATAGGTGTTCTTTTACGGTCATTTGACGTTTCATTCATGTAACATTGGTCAGGTGTATAGGGGGCCAATGAGCCACCTTTGCTTAATATTTATAAATAGATTGAAACTATCCAATGATATTGAAGTTGGTACAGGTATCTATCATAGAAGTCGTGGAGTATAAAGGAAGGTTTAATGCTATTAGTCAACAGGAAAACACGCCATTTATTGTCTATTTATTTCTATATTACTACAATTTTAAACTCCAGTAGATCTGAAACATTAAAATACTGGATTGGCCTAATTATCGTAATCGTTTAGATTAAGAATGCATTGGTCCTGCATTTTATATATTATTGCATGTTTTTCTTATTGCATATTCCTTAAGAATCAAATTACTTTTTTATATGTATTAATAGTCATATATCGTAAATATTTGACAGTAATAAATTTTGTTTAATGGGAAATACAATGTGATGGAAAATACTATTAAGGATACAAATATTCTAGAAGCAACTGACCTATATATTCAATGATATTCTTTTATGTCTATTACTATTTTTCTATCTCAGCAGCTTAAACATTTTACTATATGGTGTAATGTTGTCTTTCCAGAATATCCATTTGGCGAATTACTGGGAGGAGAATTATCATATTCAATAATTGGTTATTTTTTTATGTGTATATGTTGTTGTAAATAATCATTTAATCAATCTAAACATAATATTCCATTAAATAGTTTGTTGTTTGCTATATTATCGTTATTAAATATTTATAAATATTTTGTAATCTGTACATTTTGAAATTAAAAATAAACATAATATCTAAGAATTGCAAATTTTAATAGATATTGTGTAACAATACAACTGCCTGTTTTAAGTATAGATACTTATTTACTTATAAAACCTTTGCAAAATGTATTACAAAACAATATTATTATTACTTCATTTATATCAATTACAATACTTTGGAAATTTGGAAGATTTTTGTCCAACATACTCCTTGTAATATGACCTACTTTCACTGTTATTCATTTATGTTCATAACATATCGTTTTTTCTTAATTATTTTAATGATATTTCTCTTGAAGGCCTTCCAATATATCATGTTGTTAATTAAATGTAAGAAATTTGACTTTAGAGGTATAAATTTGGGAAATAAAGTAATATATTAAAACCAAAACATTAGTCTGGTTCATTAACATAATTTATGGCGGAAACAAGAAGTCCTCAATAATACCCTAAAAACAAGCTGTACTCTAGCAAATTTCACCAAGCTCTTACATATTAAAGATATGAAAGGGCTTCTATTACAAAAATTAATTATACTAGATAAATAAATACGATCGGTATTATTTTAAGAATAACAATATGGATATTTTGAATGCCATGAAACTTTACATTTTAAAATGAAAAATATTGGTTAAGATATGAACGTTTAAAATACAAATGAAACCCAAGAATGGAAAAGTAATCAACTCGCATATTTATCTGAAGTTTATTTTTAGGAGAAATTGTGATTTTATTATATTTTATACTAATTGTATAATACAGATGATGTACAATCTACTCCCACACCTCCCTCAATTGCCTGTTTTTAAATTAACTTTCATTGTATTTCTCCTACTGTCTAAAGTTTTTTTTACAGTGCTATATATCCTTTCAACATCCATGAAACAAAATATAGATATAGCCTAGGTTTAGTAGAACTGAGTGGGAGTTTACAGTAAACATCTTAATAGTAGAGCACATTTTTATAGGCCTACACTTCCAGTTAAGAGGAGTGACTTTTGCCTTAGCCTAGATAGTTTGTGTACAGTTATCGAACTACATAATCTTTATTTTATATGTTTATACGGATATTTCATATTGTATATTCCTAATAATAATAACAATGATCAGTTAGTGTTTAAGATATATATTTACATAAAATTTTACAAAAATGGCCTAATCATTAAAATATTTTAAGCTATTATTGTAGGTTAAATATAAAATATACCAAAGGCTTGTGCTTCTATTTTCATTCATTATTATATGATGCCAGAAATAGATTACTTTGTAATTGTTTATATTTACTACAAGGATATTTAGATTATATGATGCCAGAAATAGAGCCTCTTGTTATTTTATATATTTAATACAAAGATATTTACTATTACATGTATCTAAATTCTTATATGGTGCAAGAAATAAATCACCTTTTTATTTTTTGTTTATTTCGTACAAATACATTTACTATTACTCTTAGATAATCTAGATTATTATTTTTTAGTCATTCATGGTTAAGAGGTTGTGGTTAATTGATACACTATCGGTAAGTTAAAGGTATATATTTAAATGAATAATAATAACCTGTACATTAATTTAGCTATCAATCTACACTAATATATCATGTAAACATTTCTCTTTAACATGGTTAGTTTTGTGACTCATGAAATAATGCCAGGTTGAAGATATTGTGAAATAGTATTTGTGATTTATAATCTGCAAATTCATATACAACCTTATTCTTGTATGAACTGCCAATTAACTATTTAACATATCCTCTCAGTTAAAAGTTTTATTGTTGTCTATTTCATAACAAGTATGATTTAACAGTAGCTTTTAATTTGAAGCAAATAAGACATAATGTTCATGTTTTACAACCAAGGCCCCATGAAGTAGAGAAGATTCTCTTGTAAATGTTTTAGTTTCCTAAATACGAAATGAGGTCAACAATGGATGAACCCACCCTATAAGTCATCCCTTATACCAGGCTCATTGCTTACAATAAACTAAAAACATATCTTCCATAGTTTACATACTTGATGGCAATAAGAACAACAGTAACGATTTCAAATGATTGGGTCAGCCATGGGCACCCAATGGGCACCCCACTTTGCAAAGCAAGTGGTGGTTGGTACTTATGTCTTATTTACAACATGTGGTATAAAAATACTTACAAATGTAGAAGAAAAAATGTGTATATTTCCTCTCTGCTAGCTGGCCAGTAAATAAGTCACAAATACTTAGGAGTAAGAGCGAGGTTAGCCATGTGCTCAAGACGGTAGGTAATGGCTCAAGATAACCTATTGTCGCCACCATGACAATAGCTTTACATTCAACTAAACAAAGCCTAGTCCATCGACCATTGTTTGAGATTTTTTTTATTAAAGTCCACTGACAGCTGTGGACGGACACAGGGCTTCTAACAAAGACGGTCTCAATTTTCAAATTTTAAATTCATGACAATTAATGTTTGCTAGCTTCAAAGAAGACTCGTATTTGAACCACAATCAATTAAATTTTATCCAGATTTGTAAAGGAAACATACTAGAGAGAAATTTGCGTATATTTAGTATGATGTCATTAAGATTGCTTTGGTGATAAATAGTAGTAACTGCTTTCCATAATAGTTTCAAAATTAGTGTCAAACTTGGTTGATAGCCAGTCAAGGGTATGCATCGGTCAACAGGTCAAACGACCACTAGACTTTAAATTTTGGGGTGAAACGTGGTCAAATAGGAACATTACATGCCCTGCACTTGTGACAGGGGCTATTGATGAGTGCGATTTGGCTAACGAATCTTACTTATGCATATATACTAAAATGGAGTCTAGTATGTTCGCCTTAACTGCGTAATACACTGATGGGTATTCACATGGGTTTGACTGACAATGAATTAGAACATTTTCGAAAGGCAATCATGATGCTTTACATGTAAATATCTTGCACGTAAATAATAGTGTGAGTATTTTGAGGGTCAAGATTCACGATGGACTAGAATGCTAGTTCACCGCCTGACTTGAGCTACGAGAGCGCCATCGCATAATACGGGGTCGTACCTCGGGACGAACTGGCCATGGAGGACTGGGTGGATGTCCACTATATCTCTTCACACGTTGAATCAACACCTGTTGTCCTTGGCTACCACACCGGCATGATCTACTCGGCTCTATATCTTCAAAGTTCAGCACAAACAGCAAGATCGGTGGCCCCACACTTCGGAGCTGCCTGTCCATGTGCTACAGTCTCGATTTCCGTTTCGAAAAGGAGCGCCATCAAATGGCTGTTGAACGAGCCAAGGAAATTATGTCCGCTGCCTTTCGATTTTTTTATGTTGATATTATCGGTACATCCACTTCATGTATTAGTTGTAGTTCAATCGTGCTTTATGCCTGTGACAGTGCTACTCTTATTATCCCATAGCCTCGTTATACAAAGGTTTTTGGAGCTAACACGAGGGGTCGGTTCTATTCACACAAGCATACACCATCTACATATATATATATATATTTATATATATATATATATAAGTGTAAGACTGTTAGCATCAGCTGACACGGTGAAAGCTGATCTCTGCTCCCTTGACTGTCGTTTCTTTATACACATTGACTTCTGGCATCATATTCACTTACGAACACCCATACTTATAACATATACTTTAACCATTTTCTATTTAAATCCTATTGTTTATTTCATCAAAGAAACCGGTCCCGTTGCTTAGCGAGAAGAAAATCAATGGACACTGCTAAATATTCATTATAGAGATCATTATAATATCCAATGTCAACATCCGTAGCCTTACATCGTGGTTAGCGCGTGCCAGATCAATCAGAGGACCAATAGTCAAATCAAAACTCTTATTATTAATTAACTTTTTATCGGGTCCTAACTGACGATTGTAGCTCATATAAGCAAACAAAAAGATCTATATGAACTGGTATCTGAGATACGGCATTGTGTAACTTTCTATTGCAAAACGCGATTGTTAATCGGTGCCCATTTTTGTGACGTAGGACTAAAGACATCAAAAATCGATGACGTAAATGCGGTTGGTGTGCTATGATGTGGTGATTTTTTTTAACACTGGGGAGGAGATACCCCTGCTGAAGTACTACAAAATCGGGAGTTAGGGTAGATGTATAATACATGGCTCGTGACATCAGCTGATTAAAACGAGGTCATATATTTTACCCCATGCTCGCATCCGGTCTCAAGAAGGAAAAAAAGAGGTCAAAACTATATATTTAGAGCGTGGTGGGTCGATTTCGGGTGCAAATATCAACACGGTGGTCAGCAGGTAAGCTGGGCTCAAACAGGTCCACAGTTGAAATCATAAAAGTAAACTACAAACTCAAGTCCACAAGGCGCGCTTGAAAGACATGGCATAAAGAAAACGCAATTATTAAGTTGATCTACCTCAGTGTTGGCACAAGTTACTGAATACAAACGGGAAGAAAACACTTTATTAAACGACTAGTTATATGAATTTTGAACCATTCTCATTTTTCTGAAAGACTGAATCGTCTCGCTTGTAAAAGAATTCTGTCCGTATATATAGGTTGAATAATTCAACATCGTGTGCTATCAGCTACAACAATGGTGTCAGAGTGTGGGTGGTAATACATTGCTACAACGTTAACTGAAAAGGGGGGTCTCGTGTACCCTTCTGTGTACCTCGAGCTGACAAATTGCACCCCCCAGCAACAAGAAATAACGAGATGCTAGCATACTATAACTTTCATACAACTTCACAGTAAAAGTATGCTTCAATTGCCCGCCCTTATTATCCATGTATATAAGAAAAGAAATTACATAGAGGCACTACTAACACATGATGCAAATTAGAAGGATGGAACTAAACTAACCTGAGGCCATACTAGAATGAATTGTAGTGTTACTTTGCTACTCCTCTTCTGTGTAGTAAACCCATATCTAGCGTACTACTGGTCTTTACTCGTGGACACATTACCCATACTGGCCTGAGTGGGCACGACCACGTGACCTCAATTACATGACTCTGAACTAATGACAATAATCCACTTTTTATCGCCGAATTTCGGACCAATCAGGTAAGAGTACAAGCCGTCACCGTGTGAGAAAAAGCTATGTGAATAATGCAAACTATATCGAGCTCTAGTGACCCTTACATATTTTAAATAAACTCCTGCAAGTTCTCGTAATAATTATTAGCATTTATAATCACCCTTTTTAAAATAAAAGTATGGATCACCTTTAACGAAAGACTAAATTTCATCAAATTTTTACCATAGGCGTGGTTTAATAAATGCCATGGGTGGAGCCTAGTATGTTTACTACTGTGATATATTGGAAACATGTAGGTCATAGGTCAAATAGATATCAAATGCTTTTATCGCCTTGTGGACTGCCAATAAGCTGGTATGTAACTATGTATGCTCAAATGGAGGCAAATAACTCCTGTTAATACGCGTTAAGAATTAGAGCCTTTTGGGATGGCACTTTGTACAGAAGCATAATTGCAAGCGTGCCTCTATTGAGAAGTTTTGTAGTCTATATACAATTAGGTGGTCTATATACAGAGGTGCGGCCCTGTTCTGCAAGATTATGTAAGATGCCACCCAAGACTGGTAGTGATGTACTATGAATCAACGGGAAGAAAGGGGATAGTAACGCGGGTGTACAGAACATGAGTAATGTAAGCGTGACGCATTCATTGAGAAGATTTCGGGAACACTTTTGCCTTGATACCGGGATGTGTAAATTGAGACGGGGTAACGATTCTGAAGTTGTCACACTAGCAATATAAATCATAGAAATCTTGTGTAACAGAGAAGGCTAATGTAGGAGGTGTGGATCTAGGCAACCCGAATACATTCACATGGAAACAACAGATGTAGAAAAACTAGAGCAAAAGTAAAAAATATCAGTGTTTCGCGCCGACCTTGTACAATTTACTCCATGCACTGTATGTAGTTTAAGCCTACCATTGTCATTATCAAAAAAGCGCGCGAAATTTTCTGCTTCTGCGTTCATTGGAACATACCAGTTTTGTCTCTACATAGCAAGAAGAAAATCGATACTACCATCTTTAAGAAACTAACTAATTCAAATTGTCACGGGCATTTTTGTTTTTTAAAAAAATAAACGAAACACATACCCGTTTCTATAGGATTGTAATCAGCCATTAATTTAGGTAACGTCATTTAATAATAGACACCGAAAAACAGCACTTTATGTTTCCGCCGTGAGTATCTGTATAAATTAATTGCGCCATGTCATAGCAATAACATGATATTCCAAAATAGTTCCTTAGTAATTATAAGTTGCAAGCATCAATAGTTTCCGGGTTCACAATGTCATCATATGATTATAATTTTTAGAAGTCGGATAAATATAATGATATATTGTATATACGTACATCAATATGCCATCTGCTCATTTAATCATACCTAACCTATGTTCAAAATCTCAGACGCACTAAACTCGATAAACCAGTGTTCTCTGTCAGCTGCTCGAAGTCTCAACCAAGTGTAGCAATCAATTATATTAAGACAATATGACAAATTATTCAGACATTATGATTTGTTCTAAAACGTAAACCTCCCATTTTATCAATTCGTGTGGATTAAAAGTTCGTTCCCATTACTCATGAGCGGATATCAAAGAATGATTCACATTCTGCGCAGTTAGAAATTCTTGCACAGGAATAGTTGCAGGAATCGATTGTCTTCGTCAAAACATAGCTGAATTCTTTGAATCCTCTGTTCTATTTAATAGTTTATGTTTTTATGCCCTTGTTTGGTAATATACTCCGAACGTTTGACTCCCTCGGGTGCAGAATGACTGTCTGTATCTAAAGTGCATACACAAAGGTGCAAATGTCGACCCGTCATTATTGACTATCTTAAAGAGCATTCGGTACACATATTATTATTGTTTAATTTCAAAATAGATTCCCAGACGTTTATAAATCGATTTCTAAAACAACTCAAGAACTTAAAATGGTAAATACTATCCTGTTTCTGCAATAGGGTTTTTTTAAAAATAGGGAAAGGGGAATAACTCCATTTAAAAAAAATAGGTCGGTTTTCTGGAAACGTGTAATTATTGGAGATTTTTTTTCTGTCTTTAAAGAAACTACAGGTTTCATTTGTAAAGATTTCCATGTTTTCTTATTGATCCCAGTATATTATTTTTTAAAAATTCCATTTACCAGCCACTAAAATAACTAATACCCCTTCAAACCTACACATCAGCCTTGAAATCAGATCTATCGAAACGGTGCATAATATTGTAATATTGGCCGGGTTCCATGTCGGCGTTATGGCTTCTATAGAACTGCGTGTAATATAATAGCCGATATTTCATGTCGCTTGTTAAAATAGTAAAGCCATATCAATTCTAAGAATACAGCACTGCGTAAATGAGAATAACTTTAAATAAATAAATTCTATCGAAATGAATCAGATAGGAAAGCTTCAAATAGTAGCTTACGTAATCACACAATCAATAGAATGTAAACAAGTATAACTGGTACACTGTTTCAATGGCATTTAGTAATTGAACTAGAGTATACAGGTCACAATTCTATGGAATACAGTAATTGTATTCCATAGAATTGTGACCTGTATATAACTGGTACATTTGAAATGGTGGCCTTGCTACCACAACCAGTCGTTCTATCAGAGGACAAGGGCTATGGTCCGAACTTAAAATTGGATCATATCCAAAACTGTGGGCATCTAAAACACATTTACTTTAAAACCTTTTTTTATTTTATAAATTGGTGTGTGTGTGGGGGGGGGGGGCAATGTATCCTTAGACATAGTACATTAAATGGGTTCATGGCTCTGACACAACTGTGCCACTTGCATTCCATTTACAGTAGACACATTAATCGGGAGTGTTCCGCTGTGGAATCATTAAGCGAAATATAAAATTAATATTATTAATAAAAAAAAGCCGACTTCGGCTTTATGTTTTGAAACAAACATTTTAATCGCACAGAGCGTGTCTTATTACTTAATCAAAATAACTCATCAGGCCAACCTAATTCAAAATTGTATTTGACCTAAATGAACGAAGCTTAGTTTAATTGTGTTATAGACCACATCGTATGACAGTAACTTGGCTTCTCCACTGCAGACGCGAGTATGGGTCATTAACATGGACAATGGGTACATGATGGTGTTCCATATATTTCTCAACGATATACGCCGTGGGAAAATATACGACTTTAAGGCAACTTTACTTTAATGCTACATCTATATCGTGCACTTTTCGGGCCGAAAACCAACCAATGATGTTTGCTTGATTACCACACAACAAGATAACTAATTCTAAGGTAAATATTTGTAATGAAATCAAATGGCATGCTCAAACTCTTGACCTTCAAAATGGC